GTGGTTGTATGATGTTAGTGGTACCCATTTACGTCAGTGAAATCTGTCAGGAATCCATCCGTGGTACAATGACTTCAGGAGTCATGGTGTTTTATGGATTTGGTATGCTCGCTTCATATCTAATGGGTGGATATTTGAGTTACGAGGCTATGATCTACTCATGTTTATCTATGAGTGTACTTGGAGTTTTACTTTTAGTACTCTTGAAAGAATCCCCTTTACATCTAATGAGGAAAGGCTTGGAAAAGGTTGGTTGGTTTTATGTTCATAATACCTGTCGCCTGCGACACCGTCTCCTTGGAATAAAAAAAAAAACGCAATAAGTAGCCTATGTATTCTTCCAGTCTATGTTCTACATCTATGCCAAATTTCATTGAGATCCATGCAGCTGTTCTGGAGATGCCTTCTATCGTACATCGTTTAGTCTAGTTGGAATTGAAACTGATCATCAGTCATGAAGTGATCATCAGCTCACGATCGTTCGCTGACCTAAACATATAATTTTATTTTTATAATAAACCAGCCCAAAGCTGTTTTTTGTAACATAAAATTATGACAACGACAAAAACGTTTTCAATCTTCTATTTATGCTGTGAATTTACGTAGCAAATTTGTACAAGAACACAATTGCTATTAATATTTACAAGGAGAAAGATTGTCAAGTCTAATATGTTTCTGTACGAGTATTTGTGCAATGGAAACACGATTACATTATTCAATTTGTATACAGGATGCTGCAAAAGTAATCGCTTATTATAGAAGTGTTAAAGTAACATCAAAAACGGTTGAAGAAGAAATTCAAATGTTACGCAGAGCCATGAATCCAGATTTTGATGGTAAGAATAATTTACTAGTAACTTCACACCCTTTTTTTAAAAATGATGGAAAGTAGATTATCCGGATGAGAGGATGCATGGGAAGGGAAAATACCTTTCTGTGCATCCTCTCCTCCGTCGATTAAAGGTAAACAACGCATCTGCAATTGCGTGTCTATGGGCAATAGTCGCTTCGTTATTTCATCGATTTCAAGTGGCCGCTAGCTCGTTTACCACCTTATTTAAAAATGTATGTTTTATATAAAAAGTTTTGCTTTTATTTAAGATAATGTATGGAATCTTTTTATTTTTTTACAGATTTAACACCCGAAGTGGAAAAATTAAAGCCGGAATTTAAAGAAAACCAAAAGATGTCCGCTTGGAAATTCTTTAGTACGTTTCATATTTCTAGTCCATTTTTATAATAATAAAAAATTAAAAATACTGACTAGAGTTTTGGTATTCTCGAAACTATACATCCATACATCTATACATATAAATAAAATTAAACTGACTGTGTGTAATATCCAGATTAAAAAAAACGTATTTCGTATACGTGAAGTATTTGTGTGGCTGTTAACGATAAATCAATTTTACTATTTTGTCTGTATGTCTATTCGCACGGAAACGATTGTTCCGAATCATCTTTTGAACAATTGGACCGATTTTGACGAGACTTTGACATATAAGGCTACTTTTTCAGACCTGAAAAGTTGTAGACGACAGTTATTATTAAAATAAATTGCATCCATCCTTTTTTCTACAAACTTTACTAATATTTTTTTTATTATATTTTTCAGAGAAATCGCGTTCATCCCGTCGTGCGTTAGTGGTAGCCTTGGTGTTATATACCGCAGCCATCTTCCAAGGTCTGATGGTGGTACAAGTATATGCCGAGCCATTGTTCGCGGAAGCAGTGCCAACAATGTCCCCCACTATATGTAGTGTCATATCCGCCATATTAACTGTCGTTTCTGGTTTTATTGCTGCATTTTTAATGGAATGGGCTGGGAGAAGAGTAAGTATGCTGGGACTGCACTGACACGCTTTTACACCGCGTTAAAACACGTTCAAATAGAAATAATAAAATGCTTTTTTATCGCGTCATTTTGTAATTTGAACATTGAGCGAAGGAAACAATAGTTATTTTGAAGCGTTCATCGCTTGAGTCGTAATAAGTTAAAACGTTTTCAGGATTTTATACAAAATAAATTTTACTTGATCTTAGTCTATGTTTTCAACCGGAATAGACAAGTGATAGAATTGAAATGCATTATTACCTTTAAACTAAATGATTCTTCATTCGATTTGTAAACTTCTCTTGAGTCAGACGTATTTTTGGTATTTATCCGACTCACGAGGGTAAAAATTATTTTAGGATTGCATTTATATTCATTTGATTCTATTTTAATATTTTTTTTTATATCACAAGGTGGCAAACGAGCGAGCGGCCACCTGAAATCGCTGAGATAGCGAAGTGACCGTTGTCCATAGACATACGCAATTGCATATGCGTTGCCTACCTTTAATCGACGGAGGAGAGGATGCACAGAAAGAAAATATATTCCCTTCCCATGCATCCTTTCATCCGGAAAGTCCACTTCCACTTCTTTCCTTATAAGAAAAAGGGTGGGAAGGGAAAGAGGACTAAATTAGGCCTCCGGGACGCACACTCATCAGACTGCGCGGAATAGCTTCCACTTGACGCCTGTCTTCTGTGTGGTCGTGGTATTTCACCGGACGAGCCGGCACAATACCTGCGAAGATGTTAAAGCGGGCTCTACCACTGTTTGAAAGTAATAATAATAAAATTTATTTTCAGAATCTAATGATTTACGCATCATTAGGAGCATGTGTCAGCTGTATAGTACTTGGCACTCAGATACACTTACATTGGGGTCCGCATTGGATCACAGCTTTATTTATGTATTTGTTCGTAATCATGTACACATGTGGAGCTGGCACTGTGCCCTTCGTACTGGTCGCGGAGATATTCTTACCCGAGGTCAGTATTATAGTCTAAGAGCTAAGTGACGTTGATATTTTATAGACTAAGAGCTAGAAGAATGATATCTGATATTAAATTCAACTTGTTTTAAGATTAAGTATTTTTTAGATACGATAGTGTTTGTAGCGTACTCTGATACGTTTAATGAAGAACTTTAGTGTTAAATTTAAAATAAAACAAGGTGTTGTCAGACAGACGGACGGATAACAAAGTGATCTTATAAGGGTTCCGTTCTTCCTATTAAAGTACGGAACCCTAAATATCATCCTTCTCATATAAGAAAGGGATGGGAAGGAAAAGAGGACTAAAATAAGACTTTCGGACATTCATCAGACTGTACTTGGCATGACTTCGTATATGCGTGTCTTCTGTATGGTCTTGTGGCAACAAATGTTGTTGCTGTCTACCACTTTTGAAGTTATGATGTCGTTATAACTTTTTTTTTAATTTTACAGATCAGAAGTGTCGCGTCAATGATAGCAGTGGAATGGTGCCTCATATGTAGTTTCGTAGTACTCTTTGTGTTCAATCCTCTAGTTACTGCAGTAGGCTTGGGTCCTGTGTTTTACTTCTTTGCGTCCGTCTGCTTACTCTCTTCTATATTTTCCTTCTTTTTTGTTCCCGAAACTAAAGGATTAACAGTTGATGTTATACAGAATCTATTCGCTAGCCCCAGAAAATGTTAGTGTGGTTTTATATGACAGAGTTGTTCGCGACTTCTTTCGTGGGGAATTAAAAAATCATACTAATATTATAAATTTTGAATGAATGAATGTTTGTTTCTAACTATCTAATGGTGAAATTTGGCATAGATGTAGAGTCTGGAAGAAGACATTGACTACTTACGTAGTTTTTTTTAATGTTAGTCAAGTGCTTGGCCTCTGAGCCATGCAATGCACGCCGATAAAACATACAATATCTTTATATATATAATTCTTCTGTGAGTGTGTATGTCACTGAACTTCTCTTAAACGACTGGACCGATTTTGATGAAATTTTTTGTGTGTGTTCAAGGGGATCTGGGAATGGTTTAGATTCACAATTTCCATCAAATATTAACTTCATATTAATTTATTAAAATTAAAGACGTGTAGACAGGACAACGTCTGTCGGGTCCGCTAATATAAAGATTTTGTAAATAACTATGATATATTTGTGTTTATTACGTACCTGATTTATTAAAATGATGTTTTTGAATAAATATGAGAATTATTTTTATCTTATTTTTCACCTTTTCCATGTTTTTTAGAAAAGTAAGTAAGTGTACACCGCCTTTTGTTTTCAATGTATAGAATACAAAATGTTATAGCATAATTCAAATCAGTTGCATTTTGAATCTAATAATTATATTAATAGTAGAAATAAACAAACAATAACTTTAGAACATTTGTAATATGTAAATATCATCATCAGCTCACTATACGTCCCCACCGAGGGGCTCGGAGTATACCCTAAGTTAAAGTTGATTAAGGCCATAGTCAATATGTTGGAGGTTAAATATATATTTTTTATTATAGTTATGCAGACACTAACATTTTATTTATATGCGTGGATTAGCTAAATATAAAGAATTGGTTTGAATAAAAAAATACAAAATTCTGATATCCTTTATTTAATCTATATTTGGTATAACATGCCAATACTCACAGTAGTTTAAAAGATTAAAATAAAAAAATGTCCAATTTACTAAAAAAAAACAGTTTGCAGTCAAATATTATTGAATAAAAATAATTTAAACATATACAGTTTTTATTTCGCTTATAATAATCATAAAAGTGTGATGTACAAAAATTGTTATCATTATAAAATCAATAAATAATAAAAAAAAACTATTTTCTATAAAAATAAATCTCAATACTTCTCTTAATTAGAACATTCAGTATTATACAAAAATATTAGTGAAATAAAAAAAAGAAAAGAAATATGCTTAATTTGCTATGGGTTTTGTAACATGTCACTCATTTCCTACTGAATTAAATCCTCTTTACAAAAAAATATTGCTGTCTCTCTCTTTCTTTTTTTTTAATAGAGAAGTGTCATGTTGTCAAAAACCCATGAAAACGATTATCAATTCAAAAATCAATTAACAACAAATTTTTAAAAGCACTATCACATGATAAATCACTTTTTAAATACCTTAAAATATTGTAAATAAAAATATAATCGTATAAATTTTTATAATCAATCATTACATACTAGTACCACAATTTAGATTTCAGATAAAAAAATACTAATAAGAAAATAGAGATTAATTAAACATTACTCACTCTTAATACAGCTTTTAATCATTACAGTGATTTTTAATGAATTTTCAGTTTATTAAAATAAACAGTCAAACATTTTCTCTTTATAAAAATTTCTATAGTTATTCTCTCTTGTCACCTTAGCTAATAATCTTAACTACTAATAAATTCAATATCTGCTTAAAGGTTTGATACTACTTAATAATTTAGTATTTTTATTAGCCCAGGGTAAAAAAGTAGATTTTGTAGCAATAACACATTCCAGTAATAATATACAATCCACTTCTGCCCTATGAGTATTTATTGGTTCTTTTTTTAGTAATCTTCTATACAAACTAGACAAAGTATAACTTACTTTTTCTTTGGCTGTATGTACCTTGTTGCTTTTGCCTTTTTCACCAGATGTATCTTTTTCATCCTCTTCACATGACATACTGGACATTGACTTTGTCATATCATCAATTTCCCTCCATTCTTCAATACTAATATTTAATTCTGGCCACTCATCTTCATCATCAGTCATAATACTTTCAATTGTTCTTTTTGGTGAGCTTACATAAAGTGGTTTAGTTTTTGTTCTGTTATTATTGTTAATAGTTTTGTTTCTATCCAACTGTCTGAAGCCCGTTATGGAATCAACACAAAGAAGATCTCGAGGAAATTCTGCCTTCACATCTTTATACTCTGCGGTAAGAATTTTAAAATCAAATCGGTTACCATTGTGAGCAACTAAACACACAGGTTTTGGTAATTCTTCTAAAAACGAGTTGAGTGTTTTAACTCTTTCTTTAAAAGTTAGCTGTATGGCTAACAGTGTCTCTGATAATCTCGTCATATTCGCCGCTTCTGCGCTTATTTCTCTTTCAGGGTTAAAAAATAATGATAATTTATTTATCAAAGGTATTTCACCTACCGGGGTAACCGCTATATCTTCCGCCGAAACTGCTAAAAAAGTTAGTTCAATAATTTTAGTTTGGTTTCTCTCTTCATGGGGTAAACCTGTCGTTTCTATGTCGAAAAACACAAATGTTGATATATCCATTTTTCTTAAATCACAAGTAAACTTGGACTTATGATGTAACAGAGACTTAGCAGTGGGTGGAAAATTAGATGCTCACACTACAGACTTAGTAATAAATATTTTATATATAGTAAATGAGTCTTTTATATCCAATGTATATATGAACGGAAAAAGTTATTTTGTTATATGAAAGAGAAAGAAGTATTGGCAGTATGTTTGTGATGAGTGGTAAACTTATTGAAAAAAAAAATAAACAACCACAACACAACACTTAATGTCAAATGTCACTTGATGTTGTTTGACGTCTAAACGTTCCGTTTCAAGATTTTAATTCAACTATAATATTTTTAAAAATTTGTATCATATTTATTATTATAAATTTAGATTTTTTAATTGTTTAATTTATAATCTTTATAAGACAAAGATCTGAAGAAAAGGTTTAAAATTTGTCCTCCGACACACATCAGATGTCGGAATTATTTCTAGTTTACGCTTGTCGTTTTTCTTCTGTGTAGTCGTGATGTTGCACTGGACAGTGCCGGCATTAGGGGAGGGCGCGGTTCGATGTTCGTCCAGGTCGCTGGACGGGAAAGGGCGCCCTAGATCTAGGAATTACAGTATCACATATCCCGTCCAAAGTGGTAAAAAGAGGGCGCTATAGACATTTCGCCCAGGGAGCTATTACAGCGAAAACCGTTAGTGAATAGCTAGCTGTTCGTGATCCAATAGATGCCATAAGCAGTCTTTATTACTAATATTATATGGTGTTAAAAATACAGTTAAACTTATTCAATTCACTCACCTAACATCGGATTAATGCCTCGTTTGTTTCGTTATTATTACGAAAGTTTTTTTTTTATATCATAAGGTGGCAAACGAGCGAACGGCGACCTGAAATCGCTGAAATAGCAAAGTGACCGTTGCTCATAGACATACGCAATTGCATATGCGTTGCCTACCTTTAATCGACGGAGGTGAGGATGCACAGAAAGAAAATATTTTCCCTTTCCATGCATCCTCAAAGTCCGTCCTCATCCGGAAAGTCCACTTCCACTTTCCATCTTTTCCTTTTAAGAAAAAGAGTGGAAAGGGAAAGAGGACTAAGTTAGGCTTCCGAGACGCATACCCATCAGACGAAACAGGGAATTGCTTCCACTTCACGCCTCCTGTGTGGTCGTAGTATTTTACCGGACGAGCCGGGCCGATTCCTGCGAAGATGTTAAAAACGGGCTCTACCACTGTTAACTAAATAGGTAAATAAATTTAAAATTTTCGCACAATCTCTTGAGTTATAAAATTGTGGTTTTTACGTCAATAATAATAGAAGTTTAGACGTCAGCGTTGTCTGAATGCTTATCAGCTTTGAGAATGTAAAATAAATTAATTACGATTACTTTGATAATCAGAGCCTTGAATATACAGTGTGGTAGTTTTTATAATTTTGTAATATTTCTGTAAATATAATTGTATTTCCTAATACGATTAAATTTATAGATACAGGATGTTGTAAAAAATTAGTGTTTGACACACAAAAGATATGCCTTTCTGTATCTCCTTCCTCTAATATCCTCTTCCCACCCATTTTTAAAACGAAAATTACGGGAAAATGGATATGGATGGGAAGGGACCACAATTGGCCTCAGGAACATAAATCCAAATTAATATTTTAACCAATATACTTATTTGTTCAGAGTTATATCTCAAATTAAATATAGAGCGTACACAGATAACGAAAAATGGGCAATTCTTAAAAAATAAAAGCACCAGAATGACTGACAGAATGACACTCAAGGCAAGAATACAAATCGAATGACACCACACTCGTCAAAATCGATTCACCGTGAGTTTCCAAGATCAAAATCTGCGATTAAAACATATTGTTATCTCTTTTTTTGTCGCAGATAATGACAGGGATGACGATATCTTTTATACAGAGTTTTTGGTCTCACAAACCAACAGTGAGCCGTTTAATCACAAACGAATTTACATACATACAAACTGTAAATAAAAATATACGTACACTAATATAACCCTCTTTAGTCAGTCCATTTAAAAGTTGAAAGCCTAAGCCTACTTTAATATCCGCCTAGAATAATTTTCCATTAACCTTAACCTAACCTAACGTAGATTGTGTTTCTCGTAGGTTAACCCTTTTATCGCACGCTGATGTTAGAAATTACCAGAAAGCCTAACTATATTGTCATAAATATTATATATAGAAAGATTTATGCGTAGGCTTTCGAAACACGATCATAAGAAATAAATAACAAAGTACTTAAACCGGAAACATAGGTATATAATCTTACTAATATTATAAATGCGAATGTTTAGATTGGATTGATGTTTGTTTGAAGGTATCTCGGAAACGGCTCATCGGATCTCGCTGAAATTTGGCATAGATGTAGAGCATAGTTTGGAAGAACATATATGCCACACTTTTTTCTAAAACGGACAGAGTCGCGGGCAACATTTAGTCTTTTATAAATAAGTCATATCATTTGACGGCGGTTAAAGGGTTAAACAGTGTAGAACTAAACAGTGTTTAACAACTGTATTTTATGAAGTTATTCAGCGTTTGTTTAACACAATAAAAATAATCTACTAAACAAAATAAATCAACGCACTAAAATTTTAGAGAAAGATCCCAGGGCTGCCAGTCATTAGTTTTACGATTAGGTCGTATTTCTATGTAGTAGTAGTACGTAGTTCATCTCTAATGTAATCTCGTTTGAAGAAAATGTAATTCCGAACTTTAATATATAAATATATGCTATGCTATATCATGTTTTCCCCTAATATTATAAATGCGAAAGTTTGGATTAATAAATGTTACTACGTATCTTCAAAACTCCTTAAGGAATCCGATGAAATTTGGTACAGATATAGAACACAATCTGGAAGAATGCATACGCTACTTACTAAGTTATTATTTCGAATGAAAAGTCACGGGCAAGAAATAGTAGTATATAGCTTTTGCTCGCGAATTTGTCTAATTTGTTTAATTTTCACGAACGTATAATTATATCATTTTTTTATGAAGTTGTAAATATTTTTATTGCAAAATTTGGCAACCCTTTTTTCCCAGAGAGGAATGCTTTATGCATCCTCCGCGCCCCGGGGGGGACGCGGTAGTTATGTGGGATTCTCCTCCATAACGGAGGCATACCCACTAAACCTCTCTGTTCCTCCAACGGATAGGGACGGGGCCACGGGCACGCTTTCGCTCTCGTCCGCGACCCCGTCAGCGTCAGCTGCCGAGGCAACTCCCTCACGGGGGGAGGCCGCCCTCAATGGCGGGCAATGTACTCCCCCTCATCCATTACCCGAGAAAAAATCAGGAGGGTCTTAACTGACTCGACTGAACAGCGAGTGATGATATGGGATATGACTCCTTGTGATTCAACTCCGCTCGCATACAAAATTTGGCAACCCTGGATATATCATACTATTTGTTATGTGTAGTAATCTTTTGTTTGTTGAGTATTTGTTGTGACCATATCAGTGGATAGATAAACCAGATGTGTAATTCGGGTTGAGTTTAGTCTGCTTTGTAGTTTGTGGAGTGTGAATTGTCCAAAATGTCGGTACTCAGTCAAATAGGATGTAGTGTTGTAGGTGAGTTTATACAAGATTAAAAGTGATTGTCAGTCGTCAATATTTGCATCGATCATTTTATTAACTACTACTTGTCGCCCGCGACTCCGTCCGCGTAGATTTATAAAAAAGCTTAATTAGTGTAGCCTATGTGTTCTCTCAAACTATGTTCTATACGTATGCCAAATTTAATCGAGATCCGTTCAGCCGTTGTAGAGATTTCTTCAAACACCCATCAATCCATATAAACATTCGCATTTATAAACTTACAGTTTTAAGTGTAAATATTTACCTTGGATATGTTGATGAAAAACACCATGAAGACTAACCTTCCAGAGAGAAAACTGTTGTTGGCAAAGCTATTAACTGAACAGTTATTGGACAAACGCACATAGTAACCAGCCTTCAGCACTCAAGAGTATTAATTGGTCTCCAGAGGTATCCAGAGGTCTCAGTCTCGTCATTCATTAAGTATTCACATGATAGATAAATTTATTTTTAAAGGCAATAACTTAAACCTTGACGTCAGCATCAGCATCATCATCATTTTTCCGTCTTTATCCTGTCTCTATAACCTCCATATAGTCAGTGCGCGAGATTTTCCTTCCCAGAAAGATCTATTTTCCGTCATTTTAGACCTCACCCTCTTCTTGGTCATCTTTTCAGTGCAGTGTATAGCGCACTTCTGCTACAATTCGATCAGTATTGACTTTAGTTAGAAGGTATCTCCAGAACGGTTCAACGGATCTCGTCAAAATTTGGCATGGATGTAGAACAGTGCCTAAAAGAACACAGGCTATTAAGTTTACCAATAACTTTCTTTTTTAATTCCGCGCGGACGTTAGAGTATTTAATAATTTTTTTTTCAGTTTGCTACATGTGCCTAAGTATGGGTTTGATGTATGCCTGGCCATCATGCACGTTAAAGTTATTCTCCTCAAACAACACGACCCTCAACCGACCGATGACGGAAACAGAACTTGCACTGTTCGGTAGCCTATCGTCTATTGGCGCACTTATTGGCACACCTCTATCAGGCTTCCTACTTGATGCCTTCGGTAGAAAATATAGTTGCATACTATTTTCTTTGCCCCAAGTGGTCAGTATTTTTTTCGTACCAAAAAGGTTTTATATAGTTCATTAAGTTGGTAGATTTGTGAAAAAGTTGTAGTACATTTTTTTATAATATCTCTACGTAAACATATATAAGATTTCCTCCTCTTAAATCAATAACAGAGTCTATTTCGTTTTCATTTCGTTACATTGAATAATAAAAAAAAAGATTTTTCCACTGAACCTCCCTCCCACCTAGGATTCGGACATCTTTTCTTGACCCCATTGGCTGTCGGAAATCTCATGTTTAGTATTTATCCTAGACATAGAACATTTAGTAATCTCCTTGATCCCATGAAAGTCTCTCTTAATCAATCAATATGGCCTGGGTAGTACAAAATGAAATATAGATTCATCCTTAATTTTCAGATCTCATGGAGCATTGTGACTGTGAGTACCAATGTAGAGTTGATATTAGCGGCCATGTTTCTTTCTGGGATCGGCGGCTGTGCTTTGTTAATTGTTCCTGTATACGTCAGTGAGATCTGTCAGGAGTCTATTAGAGGAATGATGACGTCAGGAGCCATGATATTCTACGGTATAGGACTACTGCTGTCCTATTTGTTAGGGGGATGCCTGGAATATAACATGATGAATTACGTATGTCTATCGATGGCGGTAGTCGGAGTGTTAGCTCTCTGGCCTCTTTGGGAAACTCCGATACATCTTTTGAAGAAGGGCATGGAAAAGGTAATATTTAAATTGTATTATATATTTACAGGATAATAGAATCAGACTGTATCTCATCTTCCAGGTGAATACGAATCAAACGAGAACTCATTCGTCATTATTATTATACAATAAAATTAATACCTACAAATCCACATTTATATAAACTAGCTGTCTTCTGCGACTCCGTCAGCGCAGAAATAAAATAAACTATAAGTAGCCTTTGTAGCCTTAGTTTTCTTCCACATTGTGTTCTAAATACGTGCCAAATTTCATCAAAATCTGTTGAGCCGTTCCGAATATACTTCCAAAGAAACAACCACTCATCGATCCATCCATCTAAACATTCGCATTTATAATATTAGTTAGATGAGTACAAAAACATTTCTGATCAGGCATCACACGTAGATGTCGCGTGGATACCTCGTGTACATCACGGAAATGTATCATTAACTTGTGTTTGTATGCTACAAGTAGTCATTGAATGATTTATGTTGATTGTTTCATTATCAAAAGTAAACATATTTCAGTATTTCCTATCAATGTGTTTGTACAAATGTTTGATGATATAAACAAACGCACGTGTACCGGATCTAATAATATTTGACGAGTAATCGTGAAACATCGAAGCCGACTCGTATATTCACATAGTTGCTTTAAAAAAAAAACGAGTTGAATAAAATAACGACAGTAGATAACCACTGGAAAGCCCTAAGTACACGAGGCAACGTAAATCTTTAAAATCCAATGATTTCAGTCACCAAGCGACTTACTCAATACAATATCATACAACTTCGTACATAAACACGTATCATTTTTTGTTCTTTCGTCACCAAAGACTCTGCCAACCTATTTTTTGTGGCTGTTTCAACAGTGGTAGAGCCCGCTTTAGCTTCGCATGAATTGGACTCGCCCGGTGCAATACTACGACCACACAGAAGACAGGCGTGAAGTAGAAGCAATTCCGTGTTTCGTCTGATGAGTGTGCGTCCCGGAGGCCTCATTTAGTTCTCTTTCCCTTCCTAACCTTTTTTTTATAAGTAAAGGATGGAAAGTCGAAGTGGATTTTCCAGATGAGAGGTTGTACGGGATGGGAAAGTGATTTCTTTCTGTGCATCCTCCGTCGATTAAAGGCTACGTTCGCTTCGCTGTTTTAGCAAAGTTTGCCACCTTATGAAATAAAAAAAGACACGTATCCCGTTGACGATAAAGGTCGTGCGTACATAGCGCGCGCAACGCGGTACTCAAGACATTGATGTGAGATTAGTTAAGTAGATTTCCATTGCCTTGTATATGAAGGGTATAAATAATCCCTTTTAGTTCACGGTTATGGATATGAAAACCCTAAGCAAACACGACATTTTTTTATTATATTATAGGACGCCGCAAAAGCAATTGCTTTTTATAGAAGATTGAAGGAAACCTCCAAAGAAGTAAATCAAGAGATAAATAATATGAAAAGAGCGCTTAACCCAGAACTTGATGGTAAGTATTGTGTCGGTCGAATACCAGAAAAAGCTTAGCAACAAGAATTATTTAAAACAAGGACCCCGACAAAAATAACACGCTATAACATTCGGCAACACGAATCGAATAACACCACATACTGCAAAATAACATGAGCCATTTAAGCTACAGGATGTTACAATGTAACAAAAAGTTCTCAGTCGGACGAAAAAACACAAATAGGCACAAATTAAGACCGCTACACACCTACAGTTTTAACTGTGCTCTTCCGCTGTGCAGTTAAAAAGTGTGTAGTCGGCTATATATGCAGTGATAATTAAAATTATATTTGTATACTTGAAACGAAAGCTTTGTCCTTTTTTTAAGTAAATGGCTTGATGGATGAACATCTTTGACGCAATTAAAGTAATGTGGAGATAAAGTGCATTGATATTTTTAATAAAAAAAGAAACTTGGCTATGAATTATGGTCGAATTTCAATATCCGTCTCTGCCTATCCCTTTTGGTAACAGCGTTATGTTGTTTCGACTAATAGGCGACCATTAGTATAAAGTAAATAAGAAAAAAAAGTTAGTTCTTGTTGCGCGTCATCTAAAGATAAAACTTTTATAATTAATAAACGTTGTAAAGATTAGTTTTTATAGCATTTTTATTAAAATATAATAAAAAATGAATCTTTTTAATTACATTATGTATATAAATTAAATTTACGTAACAGTAAATAAGACTTTGGTTAATATTATCATTTACAGGTTTCTGACACCAAAAAGTATGTATACAATATATCATTTTAGTCTTAGAAATCCATGGTAAAATCTTAAATCGTATAGGTTTTGAACATTATAACATTTTTATGACCTTTATTTGGTTTACCTTTTTGTATGTAAAGCTTTAAAAGTAGTACGAATCTAATTTTCCATAACTTGATAGCTCCTGTTGGTAATTCTTCGTGTAAAAAAATCTAAAATCGATTTAATTTGATTACAGATCTGACTCCAGAGGAAGAGAAATTGAAACCAGAAATGAAAACAGTGAAAAAAATGTCCAAATGGAGATTTATAAGTGAGTACCATATTAGTAACGTATTAATAAAATTATTATACAAAAAATGGCACACATTTTTATTCGACTAATAAATTTATTAATATAAAATAACATTTTAAGAAAAAAAAATTGTAAAAGTTTTCAAATGAAAATTAGCTATTTAAAACTGACAGGCGCTTCTAAAAACACTGCTTGATAAAGAAATAGTCTTCATTCTTCAGTTTAGAGTATTTTTTATCAATAAAGGCATCCCTAAGTGTAGATATCTGATACTTAAGGAGTCTGAGTGCAGATTCTTAGAGTAAGATTCATTGTAATGTGTTGAGCCCTTACAACTAGATACCGGTTTCCATCTACAGAGAAATCTCGTTCATCTCGTCGTGCGCTGTTGGTTGCTTTGACACTGTACCTGTTGGCGGTATTCCAAGGTCTAGTTGTCGTCCAGGTGTACGCTGAACCACTCTTTGCTGAGGCACTGCCGAATATCTCTCCGACAGTGTCCAGTGTACTGCTCGCTGTCATCACTGTAGTAGCTGGCTGTATCGCTGCATATTTAATTGATGTGGTTGGGAGACGGGTAAGGGAGTTTATTTTACCCGAATAGATGAGTGTTGTTTTTATATATGTTATTGTTACGACTGAGTTAAACAGCTGTAGATAGCAACAACATCAATTGTACTAATGGACCTCGCACAGAAGACACGCCTCAAGTGCGAAGTAATTCCAAGTACAGCAGACTGTACTTGGACTCACCAGAATGAGTGCTTGCCGGTGCCTCTTGCTATTTACTGTTCTTTGTCCCCTGTTTCACTCCTTTTTTACAAGGAAAGTATGGGAAGGTGAAATGGATTTGATAGAAGTCGGTGCGCATAGAAAAGGAAAACATTATATTTCCGTAGGTTCCCTTTTCCGTCGATTAAAGATGTACTCGTTTGCCATTAAATAATATTAAAAAAACTCCTTGTTAAATGTTATGTTTATTATTTTTAAATTTTGTGTTCCCTGAGTGGATTTCTCTGGTTTGTACAGCCGGTGATGATATACGCGTCCCTACTGGCGGGCATTTGCTGCATAGCACTTGGTAGTCAGATCCACGTGCAGTGGGGCCCACACTGGGTCACAGGTGTCTGCATGTACCTCTTTTGTATCACATACACATTCGGTGCTGGCACTGTGCCTTATGTGCTGGGAGCTGAAGTCTTCTTACCTGAGGTAAGATCTTTATACTAGACTAGCTATCTCCGACTCCATCCGTGTGGTATTAAGAAAACTTAATTAGTAGCTTATGTGTTCTTTTAGACTATGTTCTACATCTATGTCAAGTTTCAGCGAGATCCATGCAGCCGTTCTGGAGATATCTTCTGACAAACATCTATCCATCCATCGCTTACTTAACGCGCGATATAAAAGTGTTTAAATAGTTTAACGCTATGTCAAAAAAGCCCCCGCGCGATGTGCCAACTGTTTTAAATTTCACTATCATCTGTTCATCCGATTTCCTTAAAAAGGGCGCAATATCGTCTGTCACGTCTAATATTAGTGTAATTTTTTATTCTAGATCAAGAGTTTAGCATCAATGGTCTGCTCGCAAACAGCATGGGCTTCAAACTTCATCATCCTCTTTATATTCAATCCTCTAGTCCTGGCTATAGGTCTTGGTCCTGTCTTCTACTTCTTTGCTGTCTTCTGCTTCTCTTCTGCGGTCTTCTGCTTCTTCTGTTTACCAGAGACGATGGGATTACCTGTCGATGTAATACAGACATTGTTTGCACCGAAAAAGAAGATTCAAAGCGTTTGCTGACACGTTTGACGACGACGACGACGACGTTTGAAAGATTTGTTTTATTGTTTAATACCGTAGTTGTACTAAAAGAAATTAAGAGACAATATTGTTAAATACAAGACTGTGAAAAGTCACCATTAAGAACGTGATTGTAGGTTTTTGTCTCTGTTTTTTTTTCAAAGATAATGTAAGGGATGACTATATGTACTACGGAGTTAAATATTGTAGTTGTTATGATGAATATAAACTCTGAAAGTTAGGAGTGAAAGTGAAAAAAAAGTGAAAAGTGGATTGCATTTAAGGGGACAAATAAAGCGGTAGATAGCTACTACCATACATCAGCTACTTTCCAGGAATAGTCCCGCAAAAATCGGTCCAGGAGTTTCAGAGTTTACCCGAAATGCGGACAGACTGACAATTTGAAATAATTGGTTATGTAAGAAGTTTTAAAAGAAAATAAACTTTATACGAATTGTAGTTAAAGTTATTCCCTTCTAGAATTAACAGTACCTAAAATATTTTGAAATAAATATGTTGATTTAAGAAACAAAATATATTTGACAGCTCTATACAGACGAGAAGTGGAAGCAACACCACGTTTCGTCTGATAAGTATGGGTGTCAGAGGCCTAATTTTAATCCCTTTTCCTTTCCCCTCATTTTCTTATTTATATATATTTTTTTTTATCACAAGGTGGCAAACGAGCGAGCGGCCACCTGACATCGCTGAAATAGCGAAGTGACCGTTGCCCATAGACATACGGAATTGCATATGCGTTGCCTACCTTTAATCGACGGAAGAAAGGATGCACAGAAAGAAAATATTTTCCCTATCCATGCATCCTCTTATCCGGAAAGTCCACTTCCACTTCCCATCCTTTCCTTATAAGAAAAAGGGTGGGAAAGAGGACTAATTTTGGCCTCCGGGACGCACACTCATCAGACGAAACGCGTAATTGCTTCCACTTCACGCCTTTAGCTCGCGGCTAGAGGCTAGCTGTCGCTCGCGACTCCGTCATGTTCTTTCGCAACTGTTCTTATGCCAAATTTCCAATACCTTCTAACAAATATGCATCAATCCATCCAAACATTGACATTTATATTATTAGTAAGATAGACAACTCAACTGCATGGCGCTTCGCTATTTCAGCTATTTAGGTTGGAAGCTAGCTCGATTGCAACCTAATAGAAAAAAAAACAATATAAAAATATATTTGTACTCCTTGATCCTTCTACGCTTAATAAATCTGTTTACAAATAAACTCTTTGTAAACAGATTTATTAACCGTTTATAATTATAAACTGCGTATAAAACGGCAAATAGGCGAGATTGTACGCCATTCTCTTTGTCATGCAAGAATTACTTAAATATACAGTATGAGTAGATTAAAATATTTATTTAATCTGTTTTCATTTGATCATATGGTCTTGTGATAACTTTGTGATAAATCTTTTAGCTTTAATTTAAATTCATTAGTGTCTTCATCTGAGAAACTTGTGTTCCGATGTCTATAATATTTCAAGCAGGATGTACCATTATTGGTAGGTATTATTTTTTAATTTTTATAAATTTGTGCTTGGCTGTGGTAATTAAGCAAAGCGTCTTTGCTATGTACAGGTGAACATTAAAAAAAAAACTTATTTAAATATATTACTCACGGATAATATATAGTTTTAAAAGTGAAAAAATTTTGAAAATCAGTTTAGTAGTTTTTGAGTTTATCCGTCACAAACATAAGATAAAGTTTCCCCTTTAGATTGCCATAAAGATATGATTCGTACATCATAGTCACAATTTTAATTAAAAATATCTTTGTTCTCTATTTCAGTATGTTATTCCTGTTTGACCATGTCTTTGATGTACGCCTGGCCATCATCTACCATAAAATTATTTTTATCTACCAACACAACTTTAAATAGACAAATGGATGAAAACGAAATAGCATTATTCGGCAGTTTCTCATCAATAAGTGCTATATTTGTTACGCCATTTTCGGGATTTCTTCTTGATAGAATTGGCAGAAAGAACAGCTGTATTTTGTTCTCTTTGCCACAAGTGGTAAGTTATACAATAAAAACGATAAATCCACCAATGAAATGTAAGTAATGACTATTTTTCGACTAATGAACATTGACTAATGAACAGAGTTTGATTATAAATATCCTCTTTCTGTGCGTTCTCTTTGCATCTGCGAATACTGATGTCTACGGACAGCAGTCGTTTCACTATTTGTGCGAATTTATGTGGCCACTTGTTCGTTTGCCATCTTATATTACTAAAAAAGATTACGTGAGCTAACATTATGTCAATCTCTGGAAATTATTAAAAAGAGGGTAGTTCGCCAGAAACTTTGACATTGGAATGTCAAACGTTTTAATTCTTAAGTTTTCAATTTAAATCGACTAAAATTAACTTTTAAATCGTAATTATCTTTTAAACTCAGTTGATTTATTTTTAAATCATTTTTTCTCTTTTGTTTTTCTTAAACAAGATTTCTTCTAAACTCAACAATAAAATAAAATCTTTTGTTTACAGATCGCGTGGCTTATAGTGTCAATTAGTCTAAGAGTTGAGGCAGTTCTCGGTGCTATGTTTATATCAGGATTTGGTGGTTGCATATTACTCCTAGCTCCGGTCTACGTTAGTGAGTTCTGTCAGGAATCAGTACGAGGAATGATGACTTCAATGTCAATGATATCGTATGGCCTAGGTATCCTAGTCTCGTATCTATTAGGAGGATGCTTGGAGTACCAGACGATGACTTATGTTTGTCTATCTATGTCTGTACTGGGCATAGTAATGTTGTGGCCGCTAAAGGAATCGCCGTTGCATTTGATGAAACAGAATCTTGAGGAGGTAAGTTTAGTAGTTTATTTAGATATAAGCCATCAATCTGTCCTTGTCCCTACCGCCGTTGCCATGTGCTACTCCTCCGTAAATCTCTATCAGCTGTCATATCTGAATTCACTTCCTTCTTACATCCTATTTCAAACAATCAAGCCATACTTTCTTTGGTATTCATCACCTCTGAAGCCATCCACATTTAATCTCATTACTTTCTTTCATTAGAGACATAATTATGAGCACTAAATTATGAGTTTGAAGATGTTACTTCAGTATTGTAATTAAATGAGATTAAATAAAAATTAGATTTATTGATAATATGAATGCAATTTAAAATGATAGATAAGTATAACAATATTCAAACTTTATAGCGTCTCGTTGTTACATGCGAGTGCGCCAGATGGGTAAAGTGCGTGCATAGTTTTAAACAATCAAAAAATCCAACTTTAAAATAATTTCTTTTTCTCAACAGGATGCTGTAGAAGCTGTTGCATTCTATAGACGTGTAGAAATTGATTCAAAAGTGATAACACAAGAGATAAATGCAATAAAAAGAGTTCTCAGTGCAGATATTGAAAGTAAGTGTGGGAAGTCTGTTTAAAGGAGATTGACGTATTCGGCCTCCTTGGTAGACAAGAAGTATATTAAGAAAGTGGTGGTACTGGCCATTTATAATGTTTTTCATTAATTGGAAAAAAAGTTAAGCAGTAAAATAAGCGAGAAATGCGCGCGAATAAACGAAAGGTGACATTACGTCATAGTGTATCTTAAATATATCGTTTTCAAAGAACCTTAAGAAAAAAACATTTATTTTTTTATATTGTTGACATTCCCAGATTCTCCAGAAGAAGAAAGTTTAAATCCGAATACGAAAACAAAGGAGAAGATATCGAAATGGCAGTTTCTAAGTAAGTATTTAGCATAACAAAAGATACAAAAGTTCATATTTAAGGTTATGTTGTCCGCCGCAAAAAACGTCATTGCAAAGTAAATAAACGGTGTTATAAAGCGATTACGGTAATTCAAACCTTATGAAAAAATAAGGTTATAAATTTTATCATTTAAATGACGTCTACAAAGAGATATGCGGTACATCTTAATTGAATGTTACAATCTTTGTTAAAACACTACCTCTCACCCGCGACTTCGTCAGTCGAAATTGAAAAGAGCTGAATAAACAGTACTACTATGTACTATGTTGAAACGTTGCGGTATTATCAAGTGTGTTTTTTATATTAAATAACCTAGCGCTTGACCACGTCTGAACTTAAGGGATGATGTGGTCGGAAGATGCTACTCGTTAGCTTAGTAAATGCCTAATGACTCTACTCTTGAAGGCTTCAAATATACCGTACATTTCCGGGATCATAGGTAGCCTATGTATCTATACCAAATTTCATCGAGATCTATACATCCATTTTGGAGATACCTTAAAACAAACATCCATTTATCCAAAACATTCTCATTGATAATATTAGTAAGATAGAAATGGATGTATTTGTCACACAATATGTTGTAGATCTATGGGTTCATTAAAATCCATTAGGCCAAGGATTTAATTTTTTTTTAATTTAACCATTTAATTCAACCAAGACTGTTTGATTTTGAATATTACAATGATTTTAAAACAACCGAGAAGTATACAATAGGCTTGACATTACACGGTACTCTAAAGAAGTAAAATAATCCAATTTTTTCTAGAAAAATCTCGTTCTACCCGTCGTGCGTTGTTCGTGGCATTAACATTGTACTCAGCGACGATGTTCCAAGGCCTAGTTGGTGTTCAGGTGTATGCTGATCCGGTGTTTGAGAAGGCTCTACCTAATATGCCAACGACAATCTCTTGTGTGATTTTAGCTATAGTTTTTGTCCTCGCTGGATGTGCTGCTGCTTACTTTATGGATGTAGCTGGAAGAAGGGTAAAAAGAGTTTTAATATCTTTTAGAATAATTTGGAATGCTGTGACAGTAAAATTCAATAGTATGTTTATACTAACTGTGCCCGCGACTTCGTCCGCGTGAAATTCTGTCTTTAGGTAGCATTTGAATTATTAGTATAGTTTTTGTGTGAAAGAAGGACAGACAGACAGAGTTTCTTTCACATTTATAATATTAAGTATGTCTCATTCTTATTTGAAAGTGATCGTCCGTACAAAGAAAATGACAATTACATTGGTTAAAGTACTGAACGATAACTGCCTTATAGATAACTAGCTATTGTCCGCGATTTCGTCCACTCGGATTTTAAAAAAACAACTAAATTAGTAGCCTATGTGTTTATACAGACTCTTTCCTACATCTATTCCAAATTTCAGCGAGATCCATGCAGCCGTTCTGGAGGTACTAACAAAAATCCATCAATTGAAGATTAAATATCATTGATTTGTTTCTTCATGTATCACTAATTGACAATGCAGCACCCAAGGTCATTAAATGAGCTACTAAGGGATTATCTTAGTGTAGATATTACGTATTAAACCTAGAATAAAAGACACCACTTAACCATACTTTACCCCTTGATTGTCTTTCCAGCCTCTAATGATCTACTCGTCGTTTACCGCTGGCATATGCTGTGTGGTTCTAGGAACACAAATTCACTTGCATTGGGGTCCTCACTGGATTACTGGCATCTTTGTTTATACCTTTTGCATCGCTTATAACTTCGGTGCCGGTACGGTACCTTATGTGTTTGGTGCTGAAGTCTTCTTACCAGAAGTGAGTAATGCTTCTTTCTTGATATTTATATTAAAGTTTTAGTATATTGTGTTTGGTAAAAGGAATAAGTTCCGGGTTGTGACATAGCCTTCTCATTTATTTCTTATCAAGATATCTTTTCAGTTTCGCATGCATTGTTTGTACAAAAATAGAGTATTGTGAAGGAATTATTGGATATCCGGCACCTGAATCGACAATTGAAACGTTTTTATTCCACTGCTTTTTTATATTATTAGGTGGCAAACGAGAAAGCTGCCCCTAAACTTTCGTTACTGCTGATATGTTGCCTACGTTTGATAGACGTAGGTAGCGACGCACAGATAGAGAATGTCTTCTCTTCCTATACGACCCCTCCTTCCTATCTATTACACCTCCTCATAGTTTCCTTAACAGAAAGGGGTTGAAAGGGAGAGAAGACTAAAATTAAGTCTCCGGTACAACACTCATTAGACGGTTCGTGGCTTTTACTTCACGACTGTCTTCTGTGTGGTCGTGATATTGCCCTGGTCGTTTGTACCCATACGCCAATAAACATGCTCTACTTGTCTCTTATTCACGATTATTCTAATATCGTTTCTTTTTTTCAGATTAAAAGTCTAGTATCTATGCTCTCCATGGAATGGGCGTGGATATGCAACTTTATCATTCTCTACATATTCACACCTTTAGTAGCTGCTATAGGATTAGGACCTGTGTTCTATATATTTGCCATTGTTTGCTTCGCTTCTGCGATATTTAGTTATTACTTCTTACCAGAGACAAAAGGATTGCCTGTTGATGTTATTCAGACACTTCTAGTTAAGAATTAGACGTGGATCTCTTACTCAGTGTAGGTAGAGTTCAGAGTGGGAATGAAGTTGTCCATCTGTTAATTTTTGTGATTTTTTAAGTGAAAAAATTAATAAATAGTCTGTGTGTTCTTCCAGACTATTTTCTGCATCCTTGCCAAATTTCGGCAAGATCCGTGCAGCCGTTCTGAAGATACGTTCCAACAAATATCCAACCATCCTTCTATAAATTCGCATTTATAATATAAGTAAGAGTATTGGAAGTAATTTTTCTCGAAATCTGTGGTAGGAAATGGTTTGTGATATGCAATAGTCAAATGAATGCATGTAGCTTTGACTTTTTTCTTCGTATTTTATTTTAGAACATCCTCTATTAACTCTGCCTCTTTTGAGATATTTTTTTTCCCTCAAAATTTTCTTATGTTTTATATTATTTATATAATTAATTAACTATAAGACTGTAATATCTATGTAATTTGTACTGAATTAAAAAAATAATATCAGTAAAATATTTCGATGTTTATTATAACAGACAAAGTCACCGGGTATTAGTAGTTTATAAAACATGTTTCAGTTATTTAATATCCGTGAAACACAAAAGACATAACTAACCGTAAATAAATTATCAAGCAATATTATTATTTAAAATTAAGCGTATACAGTTCAATTTACAATGAAACATAACTCGTTATTGTGAAAGAAACCTTATCGGTTTTGTTTAAGGTTTATTTTGCTTTAAATTATTTAGTTGCGCAAGGTTGATAACATAGTAAAGTTGCACATACATATTCTTATGAATGGGACAGTTAGTGGGGAAGGACAAAGTTCAACTAGTGATGTCTTTTATTATTAAAACGTTATGTTATTAAACTTTGTATTTAAATTCAATCTCTAACTTATAAAAAAATTATTGAGTTGTGTAATATTTTGCACTGTCTATATTCTCGAAAAAATAGAGTTAATTGGTTGTGTAAACTTCTAGAACAATTGAAAGAGAAAAAAAATATTTTTTTCGAAGAGAATTATAGAAACTTATTTTATTCGATTGTTTTTGGAATTAAATTTTAATAATTTCAAATCTAATTTCATTTTCGTTTATTTTTCTGCCTTTTAAACCTATTTTTCTAAATTATAAACGAGTAATAGTAGCGAGTAACTGTGTAACTGCTATTTAACTTAGCAAAATAGCTGAACGTTTTTATAACATGTTATAACGGTTATTAAATAAGTAGTCGCAACGCTATAACAAGCTAAACTGAACACTGTATTCAATTTCATTCGGTGTTGATACATTGAGTGTAACGAGACATTGTGTACAGTACACAGTCGAGTTATAAATGTGTAATCTATACACAGGTGATAATTAAAGTAAGTATTAATATTATTTATTGTTTATTTGTAAATGTAAAAGAAAGGTATTTGGAGTTTTTTTATTATTTTGGGGTCATAAAATTTCCATTCAACACCGGTTTGGGTAAAAGTGATTGACCAATATATTATAAATTAGCGATCGCCCGCGACTCCGTCCGCGTGGAATTAAAAAAACGTAATAAGGCTATGTGTTCTTCCAGACTGTTCTATATGTATGACAAATTTCATCGTGATCCGTTCAGCCGTTCTGGAGATACCTTCGAACATACATCCATCTAAACATTCGCATTTATAATATTATTAAGATTCGTTTGTTCAAATTGAATTTGTGTAGTAAAAAATTATCACTATTATTTGCGATCTTTGTAAAATAACTAACATAATAAATGTCAATAAACCTTGTATTTATTTTTATGATGTTTGAAGTTGTTTACTTATTTTTATCAAGAAATGTGAATGTCGTTATACTATCTGTTTACATTGTTATTGTTCAATTGTCCTTTTGGAATTATTCCACACAACTTCTTTTTTTTTTCAATTCCATATTAATGCTCAAGTTGGTAGAGATAGCAAAAAAAATTAACTATAAACAAAGTAAGAATATACGTAAAAATTTATTAAAGCAATTTAAAAAGCAGAATTTAGTCCCAGCCTTTTTCCTTCTAAGGCCTCTTTATTAGTCTACTTTTACCATATTTTTGCTTTTGTCTAAAGTCTTACCTAGCCTTCTAAAAGCTAAGTTTTTTATATAAATGTTTTTTTTTATTAACTTACGAATGTTCTACATTCTTGCAGATTTTTTCGCCAATATGCAAATAGCTTAGAAGTACCAGGATGACAGGAAAGACAGGAGTTAGATTTGAAGAAGCTGAGAAGAGAAAGGGTGTTATTTTAATATTAATTGCTGTGACTATAACATTTCTATCATGGCTGGCGTACGGACATCCGATCATTATGGCCCTCCTCGTGATGCTAGCTGTATATCTGATGACAGGGGATCGATACCAATGGATATATATTTGGAGTAAGACATACAAAAGGGATAGTATGTAAGTAAATTATTCTTATTAACGCCTTACTCGAAAGTCAATTTAGCAAATTGAATACATATACGCTCACTTTTTAGGGGTATACACGATGTCTCAAAAGTCGAAGTCAATCGGGAATCGGGTGATAAAGCAAACAAAAGATTTGTAGAAAATGTCACATTAAAAAATAACGGTCTTTTAACATGATTTGATATTTTTTAGTAGCTCTTATGTTTTGCTTTGTCAACCGATTTCAACGTCGACTTTTGGGACATCTGTATATGTACATACATCCTGTATATGTTTATAACAATCTAAACGTCTATATTCAGAAGAAATTCAAAGGACAACGCGAAATGCGAAAACAAACGTACCGGGTGTTATGAGCAGTTGTGTCCAATTACAAACGACCGCAATCAACCACAATGCAATCGACGCCTTGAGTTTCTGTTACTCTGGTACCATCCGGTATAGACTGGCTTTACAATGAACGTAGTAAAATTTCCATGAAATTAAAGTTAAATTTTATTAACACAAAGAATTTAAAATTTGCTAAGTTATTCTACATAAATAACTTAATTCCGTTAAGTCAGTCATTATAAATTTAGAAATATTTAAACGTAGAGACAATAATTTAAAGCTGAATCAAAGGACATCTTTAAAAGAAGATTATCTTCGATAAATCCATCTTGTAAAATTCAAAATGGCCGCCCACTTATGTTCAATCTACATGCCATAAATCTATTTCCTGACCGCCACCTGAATTAAAGGTGTGGTAACATTGGTGCGATTCTCCCTTCTCGTCTCGTTGCCGCCAAGCCCGGATGTAATGAATTACCCTATTGTGTCCGTGCCACGTGAGGTGCCCGTCACAATCGCTTAGTGGACCTTGGCCCCTCGTGATATCCCAGTTACTCTGAGGGGGAAATTTTATGCTCTCACATGTTTTTGTCTTTATCGAAATAAATACAAAAACAAGAGAGAAAAGATGTAGTAAACGGTATCCATGGTATGTCTTCGGATATCAGATTATCATTATTAACTACGATTGGAAAGTCGATAAAATAATCCAATTTTATGCGTTCCGTTGTCTCACCAAATCTTCACTCTGTCAATAATGTTGTTCTTACTACGAGAGTACCTTTCTGTATTGTGCTTTTACCCCCACGTGCGTTCGATATCTAGTAAGGCTAGTGTTGCACCAGAACACCGGCACAGTGTCGGATTTTCTTCCTAACTATAGAAGTAATATTTACAAATAAAACAGTAAACTGCTGCTGTATTCCACTATTATTAACAACATGGGTATAAAGTCGTAAGAAGTGGTAAGAGCGTCGGTGGCTCAGGGGTTTTAACACTTGACTTGTAATCTGCAGGTCCTAGTTTCGAATCCCGCCATGTACTTTTGTTTTTCAATTTCCGATTTGCATACGTACATTTATCGTTCTTACGGTGAAGGAAAACATCGTGATGCAACCTGCATATATCTGCGACGAAATTCAAATGTTTAGTCAACCAACCCGCACTGGGCCAGCGTAGTTGACTGTGGCCTAGTCACCCCTAACTTAGAGTAGGCTCCGAGACCCTCCGTGGGGACGTGTAGCGAGCTGATGATGATGATGTACATATAAATTCATGTCTTGTCTTTCCAGCGGTCTTCGTGTTTTATTAGAGACAATGTTTAGAATATGGGTATGGGAGAGACAGGGGATCACAGTGGTCACCAGATGGACAGAAGTTGCCAAGATGAATCCTGATAAGAAAGCATTTGTTATGGATGATAGATTTCTGACATTTCGTGAGGTAACTTCTTTTACATGATACTAATACAGTCTTATTTATAATCTAAACTCTAGTTAGTAATAGGTAAAATAGTAATTTGGGGGCTACTAATTGTTTCGAAATATTATTGTAAGTTTATCAAAATATTTTTTTGGTAACCACTACATTCCTATGTTCACCAGGGTGACGAATTCAGTAATCGTATAGCTTGGTACTTCAAGCGACAGGGTTTTAAAGCTGGTGAAGTGATAGCCCTATTTATGGAAACTCAGCCAGAATATGTTTTTATTTGGCTCGGATTGGCCAAGATACGTGTCACCAGTGCACTGGTCAACAACAATCTGAGAGGAATCCAGTTGATATATTGTTTAAAGATCGCTGGATGCAAAGCTGTTATATTTGGAGATGAAATGGCTGATGGTAAGTATTTTTACTTTTTTATTACGTCTCTACTTTGGTTAGCATTATCTTTCTCTGCGTATGTTCCTATTTTATCACTTTAAGGTAAAAAAACATTTTAAAATTTTAACATCTCAAAATAGGTTATATATATTCTGCACTTCTTAATATGATTTTTATTGTAATGGATAATCTGTAACTTCAATACCATCCAAAAAATCTTCTTTCTTTACAATTCCAGCTATAAAAGAAATCCAACATGAAATAAGGGATATACCTTTGTTCCAATTCAATTCACCTGATCGTCCGAATGCGCCTCTAGTCCAAGACACGTCGCCTTTAGCCAGCGAGCTGGCTGAGATGTCGACAGAGGCTTACATAGATACAGACGTAGCTAAGCCCAGAGATACATTGATGTATATATATACAAGTGGTACCACAGGATTCCCCAAAGCTGCTATTATAACTAACATCAGGTACGTCATTACTCTACACTACTTAATAAATACTAAAATAAAACCATTTGAAATTAAATGACAAGCTTTTATTATGTTCTTGTTAATTAAAACTAAAAATGAAAAGGCTACTCGTCAAGACGATTTAAATGAGCCCCAACTTGATGTGGTTGCGTCGTTTCATTGTTTAGTTCCTATAGCCATCTTCCAGCTCCATCGTCAGATCAGCACCATGACATAATATTGCATTGTCACATTTACGCATGTAGATATCTCCTGATCCCACTGGGAGTGCATACATCAGCTCGTCTATCATCAGCTGATGTGGTATACGATCCGCTACCACTGCACCACACAGCAGGCGGCGTGCTAGGTGCCGGCCAGGG